GAATTGCAGTTTTAAAATCAAGATTAAAAAATACATAAATATATAAATATATAAATAACAAACCAGTTATATGAGAGTTTTTTTTTTGAAAATAAAACTGATCAGGGTTGAATTTTTTATTTATTTTTTTTTTATAGATAGTTTTGACTTAAATGATAATCAATTCTGAACATTTTTTTAAAAAAAACAATTCTTTACTTAAGGTTAGATGTTCTGCATTTTCTAACTCATCGTCAATAGCATTTTGCACACATGCAAATTCTTTATCTAATAACCGTCCAGATAATGTTGTACATGATGGCAGCACATAAGCAGGATTAAGAGCTTTGAACAGACTTTTGATGAATGGATTTTCAACTACTTCAAATGAGATATTGGCCATTATTCAGGCCTTTAAAAGGAGTTCATCATAATAGTTATTAGCTTGTGCAGGTAAGGGTGCATTTAATTGTAAATTTCTTGAATATTTATTGTTTTGCTCTACAAGTTTATCACACCAATATTTTCGAACATCTTCAGGTACACTTGAGCAATGAACTGCAAGGTGAGCTTTTAAATCACATGGCTTACCCCTTGGCCAGCAATTATTACAATAGGGGCATGTTGCCTCATAGTGTCCTGGATTTACTTGCACACCTTTAATAACATACTGCCATACTTCATCAAATTTAGGACCACCTTTTCTAGCTTTTTTTGATTGTGGTTCAAGTTCTGTTGATACAGAATTATCGTTATCATGAATATTGGAACTGGGTTCTAAAGAATCTTCATCATCATGCGATGTTTTACTCTGTGAAGACCGCTTACTTATTGTCATTATGACTTCTAAAGAATGTTTGATTTACTGTGCAATTTTAATAAAATTTTAACCTTGAAAAATTAAATTCTAACAAAGGCACTTATTATTTTTCCAACACAAAGTAGTTCAACGTAAGCTTATATCATTAGATTACATTACATTATGCATGTATTCTCAATGACATGCACACCAATATTTAATTTGTAACTAAGGGTGTTCTCAAGCACCTAAATCAATTGATCTGAAATAAAATTTTAAATAGTCGGGGCCAAAAAAATTGATCAAGTGAGTTGCTGCTTTACTGAAAAAAGTCTGGAGATGCAGACCATCTTTTTTTTCATAGAGTTAATGCTGATTGGCCAAAATTGCTAATTAATAGTGTAGAAAATGAGGTTGTTCAAGCACTTTGCTTTATGTCATGGATCTTTAGAGAAATTAAAATTGGCAAAAATTTTTGTGTTGCTTTTTATATTCGAAACACTTATCGTTAATAAAAATTCCAGGAAATTCAAAGAGCAAAACTTGCCAAATCATTAGCTTTGGATTATATTATTGTTATTCCACAACACGATGATGTTGTAGGAGACAAGATTTATTTGGATTATAATATATATAAAACAATTGTATTTAATCTTTGTAAGCATTTTCTGATAATAATAATAACAATAATATTCATATATAAAAATATATAT